AATTAAACGAATTAAAATAAGTGCTCCAAATTGTGTCCATTATCAGACCTTGGATCCCTGCACTAGGACGCCAACGGATCTATCGATTTTAATTTATTGTATTAAGTTTTCTGTATAGAATTCTTTGTGAGCTTCATAGTTTTTTAATTAATGAAATGTTTTTTGCCTTAAAAAAAATACATGCTCATATAATTAATGACATTATTTTGTTTAACAATACACCATATCATGCCATTAAAATACAACTCATTAAATTAATGACATTATCAGGTGTTTTTAATCGTCATTATCTATGTTTGATTTTTCATTAAAAAGATTTAAAACTAGTAGTTATTAGATATTTAACTTTTTTAATTTTAGATTTGCTAAAGCTGATCCACCAAATCGGCATCAACAAATCTCATATAAACAATAATTTGACTGCTTTCAGATTTTGTATATTCAAAATTGAATACTCTTTGTAGGTAATGTATGTAGATAATGCTTGGCTGTCTCTAAGAATCAAGAAATAGTCGATCAATGAATTAGTTGGATCAGTTTTTTAGCAATTTAATTAAGAGAAAAATAGAGAAGTTGTTTACAGATAAACATGCGGAGCAAAAATTTCTAGGAAAAAAAAAAATAGTCAAACAAAATTAATTAAAGGGGTATTTTTGGGTTGCCAATAAATGTATTTCAAAAAATAAGTTATACATGTGTGATCTTTGTAAAATTCAGCTACAATTTAATTCAACCTTGAAAAGACGGTTATATTGTAATATTTATTAGGGAGAAAGAGGGAAATAGGCGTTTTCGTCCATAACTTGTCTGGTTATGAACCATAACTTGACAAGTTATTCCCGATTTTTATCCATGACTTGTCTGGCTATGAACCATAACTTGACAAGTTTGTCCATAACTTATCTGATTATGAACCATAACTTGACAAGTTATGACCTATTAATTTTTATAACTAAAAGTTGACCTATATACTTTCTTAAGCTTTTAAGCTTTTCATATTGACATATTTCCTACTATTTCCCTATTTATTAACTGAGTTCTGCCTCGAGCCAAGTTAAACTTCTATTGGGCCCAAGCTCTAGGTGGCCAATGCTCTTGTAATATCCAAGAGCATTATCCACTATTGTTTTTCTTCCAAATTCCGGCAAGTAGTAAATTTGGTTGTTAAATCTTCAGAAATATCGTTTTAATGAGGCACCCTAGGAATTTTGCCCCTCTAATAGGAGGGGTCAGAGACTCAGAATTCCGTCTTTCTAGAGCACCCTTTAAAGGTCAACAATGTGTTTTGTCAAATCACTCTGTCGGTTGCCCAGAGTAATCTATTAGGTTACAACCGCTAACCTATCAAATTATGCATCTGGGCAGCACGTCGCTAGAGTAATCTACTATATTTACCACGGTTAATCTACCAGATTATGCTATCCTTTTCAACACAAATCACCAGTTGTCTTCAGTGGTGGTCGCTAATGCTGACCACCAAAGTAATCTTGTAGATAACCATGGGCAATCTACCAGATTAAATACTGGACTGAATAGATAAATAATTAATTACAAAAATTAATTCACTAAAAAAGTCCCATGAAAGTTCAAAATCTTACAAAATTTTAATCTAAAATAAGTTTCTTTCTAATATGTGCAAATTAAAAAAAAAAAAAGAATTAAACACGCAAGATAGAAATTCTATATATAACATAAGCACAATTACCAATATTGATGAAGTTAACAAAAGCATAATATTTGTCTCATTTGCTCTTATTAAAAACCCCTTAAAAGATTTCTATCCACATTAAAAACTATATGTCGTTTTATCGCTTGGTTCCCTTGCAAGTGGTCCCATGTGCTCTTCAACATTGTCCCAGCTCCTGATACTCGCAGTCGACCAATTCGGAGAAAAGTCGGCTTAGAAAGATCTTCACCAAATGAATGCCCACTTCTAAGACGTGTGGTTACCTAGTAGGTTACTCTAGTCATTGGTTCAAGTTTCACCTGCGGGGTGACTTCACTGATGATTATTTGCAGGTGACTTCAGTAATTTGTGAGGTACTCATCAACTAAGTAAACATTGGTCACCCGTTGGTTGACTTTAGTGACCGCTATTAGTAACCTTACAATTTCATCGACTAAACTTTATTACAGCGTTCTTTTGTCGTAAAAAAAATGGGGAAATAGTAAAAAATAGGTCAATATGAAAAGCTTAAGAAAGTATATAGGTCAATTTTTAGTTATAGAAATTAATATGTCATAACTTGTCAAGTTATGGTTCATAACCAGATAAGTTATGGACAAACTTATCAAAGTATGGTTTATAACCAGACAAGTTATGGATAATTATGGACAATAACTTGTCAAGTTATGATTCATAACCAAACAAGTTATTGACGAAAACAGTAATTTGGCCTATTTATTAACTTATATAAACTATTGGCTTATTAATTTTAATTCATCTAAAGTCTTGGTCTATTTCTCTCTTTCTCCCAAAAAAATGATTGAAAAAAATCAACAAAAGACACAAATTATATAAGAAACTTTAGATATAGATTTTTCTTGGGTACAACATATGCAGGTAAATCTTTCTTCCTTTTCCAGAGAAAATTAAAAAATTTACCCTAAAGAGTCCGTGAGTCTGGATTTCTACCCTTAATTCTTGATTAATACATTTTTACTAGTATAGTTATTTGACTAAAAAAATTATTAATTAAGAGTAAAATGTAAAAATCTTGTAAGTATTTATCTCATTTCCTCCTCTTTCTAATGACCCAAACACACGTGTAAATTAGGCCCGCTAGTTATATAGCCCAGTTATTCGTCAAACCACTTTTCTTTAAGTGCTTCGAAAAATAACACTCCTATATATGTTACTGAATTAAAAAAAAAAACAAAAAAAAAACAAACTTCCATTCGTTTATACAACTAGAGAATTAGATGTAAATTAAATAGTGCACTTTTTGTAGCTTTAAGTTCTTTTAAAACGAATTTCCAAATTCTTTATAAGCAATGCTATATTTAAATGTTAATCCTCCATTTACTTTTCTCATCCCAAGTTTTTTTTTTTTTTTTTTGACAAGGACAGACTACAACCAAATTTGAACTTTTTTTTTTGGTTTGCTTTTTTGAAGAAAATTAACTGGGTCTCATATATATAAAAATAACAAGAATGGCATACAAGAAACTAGAAGAAATTACATGACATGGCACAAATCCAAAAACTTTACATTTATGCCACTGACCTTCAATAGATTATACTTTTTCTAGAGAACTAAGTGGCATAGATTTTAAATTTCTGCTATTAGATGATATAAATGTAAAAATAACACCATTTGAATGACATTTCTATACTTCTCCCACAAAACTATTCTTCTATACTTCTTACCAACAAATGATAATTCAAGAGTCCAGGTCATTAACAATTTAATCAGATTCCCCTTTAAAAAAACAATTTAATCATAATTGTGATCACATGTTTATTCTGACAGTAATTCCATACCATTTTGATACGAAGGTCTACCATTTAAAGTTTAAACTCTCTCTCAAGCCAAGTTCAAAATATAATTTAAACACAGTCCTTATAGATTATTTTTTTCAAAGCGAATTCAGTTAGGACTTTGGAAAGATCAAAAAAACCCATTTCAGCGTGTAGAAATTAAATAATTTTGAGTACTAATGATCACTAACGACACGTTTCCCTCCGCAGCCAATAAAGAACTCGCGACAATTAGGTTTTGGTGCTTTCTTATGGACCAATGGGCGAGGCGATATACAGATTAGGGCAAACAATAAAGACAGAACATTCAATCGTGAATTAAAAAGCCTATGTTTGCCATGTTGACATTTCAAGCCCAATCTCATTTTCTAATCAGGAAATGATAAGAACTTTGGAATAATCATACGTCACTTTGTGGAAAATATTACCCCAACTGATTCTCTCTTTTGATCTTTTCTTTTCTTTCTTATTGTTTATATAATATTCTTCCAAATTATTTTATTTTTCTGAATTAATTTTTTATATATTTATTGTACGTAAGTTGAGCAAAATTTGCTGTAATGGACAGCAATATTTTTGAACAGTTTACAATATTCGAGTGAATGTAATTGTAAGAGATTTTCAATATTGGTAGCTGAAAATACGCTGTTTTTTTTTTTTTTAAAAAAAAAAAAAATTCCCTTTCGTGCTTAAATTATATCCAAGGCTACCGTATTCTATTTACCCCTAATTACAATTTTATACCGTGACCTACTGTTGACCTATTATGATTGTTTTTGTTTTTTAAATATAATTTCTATTATGTATTTTCGAGACAAGCTTTTGATTGCAAATTTCAAAATATTACGTAAAGTATAATAATTAAAAGAATCTAATTCACCGAATAATTTAATTAACCAATACTTAAAAACTCATCCACACACACACACACACACACACATATATATATATATAAGTGAAGAGAAAAGTAAAAGAAAACCTCGGTCAAAAGAACAATTAATAAAGCCAAAGAAAATGTAGAAGAAACGTAAACCTGAAAGAAACACGCACTTGTCCGAACCTTGTCCGAGGATATATGCGTTAATACAATAAATTCTTAAATTAAATTTATATTTCGAAACAGAAATATGATAACATGAAATATTAGTATACAAATGAGGATATTGTACAGTTAATTCTAAGGTCATTCTACTTGATATATTAATCTCTATTCAATCAAGCTTTTGTAATTGATCCGAGAGCTAAGCAATATTTATAATAACGACTTTTACATTGGACAGGTCCGGCACCATAAAAACTATAATAACATTCTTCTCAAATCAAAATTTTACATATGTGCATACAAAGCTATTACAGGATTTTTTTTTTTTTTTTTTTTTTAAATTCGGCCCTCTTAAGTCTCAACATGTTCTAAGTACTATTCAAACAATACATATAATGAATATCATGAATTGTAATAAGGAATTATAAGTTTATAATCTTTCATTCAAATAATCAAACCTAAAGGAGATCTGTACCATTGAAATTAAACATATGTATCTAATATATTGATGAGAACTGACCTGTATAACGTGTATATTAACTTTAATGCTGTGTGGTTACAACAAAAGAGAATTAAGCACTACCAATAAATCTGACGATATGTATATATCTACGAGCTCCAATTCATGGTCGGAAGTTGAAACTGCGAGCCAAGAAGTACTCCGTTCGGATGAAAGGGCGTCGTATTGTTCTGCGGGATCTGGCTCAAGATAGACACAAAAGAGTTGTTATTGATTTCAGAATCGGTCCCGCCACCGCCGGTACTAGTACCACTGTTGAGATCGCCGTGGAACCGCTTCGCGCTGCCGGGTCCCACCACCGGAGGGCCCGCGCCGGCTTCGTGCCAAAACGGCGACGGCGGTAGCCGTTTCACCGCGAGGACGTTGTTTTTGTTGTTGTTAATGGAACTGCTGTGATGATGATCAGCCGATGACAATAATCCATCGAAAAAGCTCTCATCGTTTTCGAGTAAGGCCGTGTAATTACTCGGCTTCGGCGTGGGTAGTTTCGGAATAATGCTAATATTCTGAGTGGTTTGCATTGTCGTCGACTGCATAAGCAAGGCGTCCATGGAATCTTCCTTATCATGATCCATCATTGGTCTTTGGGCGTTGTTCTTCTTATAAATCCGGCACAAAACCCAATCATCTAGCTAGCATACCAAAAAATAAAAATAAAAAAATTAGTATTTCTGGATATAATTTTATTTTTTTGGGGATGAAATTGAGTATGTTTATGTGTGTGTGTATATATATATATTTATATACCCGTAAAGAGGCTTTCTTGTCGGTTGAAGTATGATGATCGGGAAGCTTGGGTTTCGTGATGTTGTCAACAAGGCGATATTCATGCATAATCCAGTTGGTTTTGATTCCCTTTGGGGGTTTCCCACCGTAGAAAACCAGAGCCTTTTTGACGCCAACTTTCTGAGTTCCATTAGACGTCAAAATAGGCTTATCGGTGCCTGTGGCTTTCCAATACCCAGAAGTTGCCGCTCTATTTGGCCTAGCCCCGTTCGGGTACTTCCTATCTCTTGGGCTGAAAAAATACCACTCTTGCTCACCAAAACTCGCCTTGCCTACACATATAATAACGATAACAAAAATAAGAATTTAATCCAATCAACAAATATATATATATATATAGGTAACTAATTAAGAATATAGAAAATTATTACTTGGGAGTTCCCATGGATCAAACTTGTACAAATCGACTTCGGCGATGATGGTGACAGGAAGTGGCACGGAAGAGGCTTTTCTCTTGAGGTAGTGAACGACGAGCTCTTCGTCGGTCGGGTGGAACCGGAACCCCGGTGGGAGTTGTGGGTGCTGCGATCCTGACGACGAATCTGTGCTCTCCATAGCAAAAATGATGAACAAAATGTTTGTTTTGAAACGCTTTCTTTTTCTTTTCTTTTCTTTTCTTTTTTTTTTTTAAAAAAGTGAAAGTTACAGGAATTAAAACGGACTTATATTAACAAGCTGCAAATGATCAAAGATAGGAACTGGGATGGATGACACGTGGATTTAGGGAGTGTGGGGACCACATGAGGTGGTGGCGGTGAACAAAGGGGCAAAAAAAAAGTGGGGACAGGCAGGTATATGGGAGTGGGGCCTAGTGGGGGGGGGGTGGTTTGGAGTTGGACTTTGGAGCAGCCTCTACGCCTTCGATGTCATGCTTTTCTTATGGATGCAGCCTAAACAGCCACACCTCCATCCAAAAAAAACAACAAACAAAACAGATTTTTTCTCTCACACAACAATGTTAAGAGAGAGAAATTAGAGGATGGCACGTGTGAATGCTCTAAGTGTGTTGTGCGGGGGGTTCAAAGTGCAAGTGTCTTTTGGTAGATTGAATGATGTGATTTTTGCAAGTGCATCTGTATGAGGACAGCACATACAGATATTATACATGCAAATTGGATTTGAGGTCCTTAAAAAGTTCCGTGTGTGTATATTGTATAGTTTCATAATTGATCACTAAGATGTTCCAGAAAGGACTAAAGGGAAAAAAAAGGAAATTTTATAACAAGAATCAATTTGAAATATTGGCATTGTTCATCACATAATATTTGCCAATTGAATCATATTATTGCCATTAACACTCTACGTACAACCAACCAGTTCATTGGTATAATTAGCTCCTCGGCTAGAGAATAAATAATGGGCTGGGTAATGCTGTTCGTTATATCTGAAGCTTCAATATTTTCTTAACCATATGATCAACCTCCTTTAGTTTTTTTTTTTTTTTTTTGCTTTCCTTTTCCTTTTTGAATTTAAGCCCTTAATATTTACCTCATCTATAATAGTCTTTTTCTTATTTTTCTTCTATTTACAAAATGGGTTGCTGTTCAAGAGGTCATAAATGAAAGCCAAAAAAAAAAAAAATTTATAAATTTTACCTTTCTTCCTTTATTTGATTATTTTTTTGGGAGAAAAAAGGAGAGTAGTACTTAGGGTCCGTTTAGTTCGATGATTCGAGTTTTTAATTCGAGTTGAGATGTGACTTTATGTAAGAGCTTTTACTGTAGTAAAAAAGTTAAATATAACTGTTTCTGAAAATTTTTTACTGTAATAAAATTCAAATTCTAAATTCGAATCGGTGAAATGAACGGGGCTTTAGTACTGATCTAGCAACGTAAGAGCACGTAAGAGTACTTCCAACAGGGCCTTGTCATCTCTTATAATATTTCGAGCAAGATTGTTTTGTGTGGCAGTTCTTATAGTGATGACAATATACTCGATCCACATAAACTACGAAAACTTCCAAGAAGTTGCAAATATATATATATGTAAATTAAGATTTCCTTGAGGGAAAAAAAGGTATAGTAGTATACTACAAAAGACTAGTAAACAAACAAGGATATTCTTGAATAATCGTGTGGGATGCACTGTTCTATAGGAAATGCCAACCGAGATCCGAGTTCATTTTGATGCTAGTTACTTCTTATTTATTTTTCTTTTATAAAAATATAATATTCTCGAATAGGATAAAGTCTCACAAATTTTCTTTAGGCAGCATATATACTCATTTTATGTAATGCATATGCATTCATTTGATCATCTATTTAATGAGATATTGGTTCATGAAACACAAAATCTTCGGTGTTTAATTAATATCTATTATTATTAATTTTTGGAAATTAAACAGATTAACGCATGTCATCACAAATATCACGTTACATATCTATCATCAAATCCTACCTGGATATATAAAGAGGAAAAAAAAAATCCTCAAAAAAGTAAAAAAAGAATGAAAAGCTTTGGAAATGCCATAATACCGCTCCCTCAAAATCGCAAGCGTCCGACTAAGATCTCAGGATTAGGAAGACCAGACCACTTTGTTACAACAACTTTAGCTGCACACAAGGGATTAGCCCCCTCTTTATCAACTTATTACTCTTTAGCCCCCCCCCCTGCTTTTTTTTTCTTTTATCAAAAACTAAAATTCTTTTTTTTTTTTCCTTTAATTCCCATTAAACTTTCTGCACCTTCTTAAACTTGTTCCATCGTTGGTTTTGTGACCATGTTTTCTGGTTTTGGTGAAGGAAGTAGAAAAAGTCTGTCATGTTCGTGGTCCACATGACAAGGAGATGCTGATGCTCATTGCTTTCCAAACCCATCACAGCGCGACAGCGAGCACATGAGATCTCCTTAAATTGGCTGAATTATTAATTGTGTGCAAGTAGGAAAAAGACACAATATAGAGATATGATCGTTTGACATGTACAATAACTTTGATCATAATTTGTAGTGGATGTCAATTAAGTTAGAAAGTACTTAACCATCTGGACCTTTAATAGGAGTCTACCTCGTACTACTTGAGCTTTTTTGTCCTTTCCTTTTCTCTTCACGTTCAATAAAGCCTTGTGACCAGACCAAATCGCAAAATACAAAAACTAATAAGATGATCAACATCCACCTTTTTCATTTTTACTCCTTTTTTTTATAAAAAAATGAATAAATAAATTGTGGTCTGAGTTCACACTCATATTAACCCTATTTAGTACTCAGATTCCTTGTACTTTGAAAATAACCGATACGCATGACATATGTGAGACATGGTGGGGTTTAGTGATTTGGCTTTGTCGATGGATGTTCTACCTCATGAATTTGTATTTAGGGCACATTGCTCGTTTTTCAAATCAAAGTATGAAAAGTCACATTGGATTCTCTATTATTCCTTTCTTAATTTGGCCACCCAAAAAATAATCAACTTACAACTATCTGGAACTTTAATATTGTACGTCATGCAATCAAAACAATTTGGACGCCAAGTTGAATATTTAATTTGCTTCAACATAATATGTATTATTGATTATATAAACAAACATAGTTGTGAGTTAACTTAAGCAGTTAGTACCCTCGGGTTCGGCTTTTGATCGCATGTGATCAGAGAGTTCAATGACACTTGCATAATGGACTGTACTTAACATCGAATTAACTCATTGTTACAAGCGTTAATGACTTGTTAAGCCATACTCACATGAAAAAAAAAAGGAGTTTAACTTAGTTAAAAATGATTTCCCGACAAACATTTTTTCTTTTGTCAGAAAAATGCACTTTCGTGGCAAAAAAAGAGACATTAGACCCCGTTTATTTCACCGATTCAAGTTTAAAATTTGAGTTTTGCTACAGTAAAAAACTTTCAGAAACAGTTGCATATAACTTTTTTACTATAATAAAAAGCTCTCACATAAAGTTACATCTCAACTCGAATCAGCGAACTAAACGGACCCTTAGTTGAAATTATTTTTCTCTCACCAAAATACGTTTTCATGTCATGACAAAATTTTATTTTTTGTAGAGTCAATTGTCCGATAATTAAAACTACTCTCACTAATAAGTTTGTATTTTTCTTCTTCTCAATAATGATGGCTGAAGGCTAATAAATTGTGTACATAATTAGGTCTCATGGTATTAGAGAGCTTGGCTAAGTGTCTCTTTTTAGCTAGAATGCCTTTCAGACCAAGTCACCTATTAATTTAGATAAGATCTGTATCAATTTTGGTTTAATGACGTAAACCATTAATTATATATATGAGACAATTAAACTGGTGGGGTCATGTCAATGCCCCCTTATCTTTTGATATATTAGTCATGATGCCATTGTTCTCACTTTGTACATGAGAAATTTGTCAAAATGACAATTTCAAAAAGTCAAATTAACTGAATAATCTTTCCATTTTTACATTGCACGATCCACTAAAATGTGCGTTGTAAAAATGGGTCGTGCTCAGTGCTCATGTCTTTCAAAGTCATTTGACAAATTAAAATTTTTTCAAAAATTATTTTACAAATAAAACGTGCAAGCCATTTTTAGAAAGAGCTTATTATAAGAAAAGAGATTTCTAAATTAAATGGAAAAAAACCAAGAAATGTTATTTAGAATATATCTCCATGCACTGCCCTTTATTAAATGGAGTAACCTTACTGGTCAAAATCAGATAAAAAAGAAAAAAGATGCTTAATCATTTCAATTATTAAGAATATTTTTTAATTAAACTTAACACTACATACATTTTTTTTATGAATGTATTTAAAATCTTCCGACTATAGTTTGCAATTTTTTTTTCTTTTTTTCTTTTTTGCGTTAAAGTTGAGAGAGTTCAAATTCTACACTATAAGATGCAGTCATACGAGGATGAGAATTTATCATTAGATTACTACTGAAATCTGCTATCATATTTTCAAAGGTAAATTTTTATTTAATTAATTGGCTGCAATGTAGACAAGACAACTGGCTTCAGCTGCCCAATTAAATATTGTCCATGTTTTAGTTATGGGCATGGAAACAGATCATTAAATATTATACCACATCGTGGACTTAGTGCTTCAGAAAATACTGTCTCTATGATTACGATGCTCATATATGATTGAAATTAATTGTGTAAGAAGTTAGAAGCACATGGAAAAGATTTATATGGTTATGGGTCACAATTTTCCATTTTTCTTAAACTATGTGAAACTTATCCATTTTAGCCTGTTTATTTTAGGTTAAGGTCCATTTTCTTGTCCGAAAATTTTGACTTTCTTGGCAAAAGAACGTAGACACAAATAAAATAGATAAAATGAAGTATTACTAAATTAATGTACCAAGCTACTCATCGTTTGATCAATGGAGCGTACTCCAAGTAAAACTGATATCTAAATATATTGTTTGTAGAATTAGTTTTATGCACGAAACGCATAGTCAAAGCATCTCCAATGTCGCACCTTCAATATTTTTTTAACACTCTAGGCTAGCTAATGATTGCTTGTGTGAATGTGTGCGTATGTCTACTAAAATTTGAATCTATGTAGTTTTATTTCTTAAGTAAAGTGGTAGTTATATTCCTCACACTTTATTAAAAAAAAAAATCTTCAATGCATACAATATTAAATTAGTATGCCAATACTAAGTTTTAACATTTGAGTTAGGAGTAACAATTTAGGTCGTGTCTATGTCGACTCAAACTTAATCGCGTCGAGTTTAGGTCGATCCATGTGTCACTCGTTTAGTCACTCATATCTGTACTGTCACAATTGTTATAAACAATTTGAGTGTAAATTTATTTACTTAGTTCATTTAGCTATGTTTAACATTATTAATATAGGTAAAAAAATATTATATTTTTCATGTTGTTCAATTAAATCTATTAAAAAATTTGTTAAAAAATATTTGTCCATATTTGTATATATTTTAAAAAAAAAATTTACTAAATCGAGTCAATTTTGTGTCAAATTTGTCTTGTGTAGCATGTCGCAACCAGCCATATTGTCACCCCTAATTTGAGTAGGAAAGCTACTCTCAAATACAATACTATTCTTGGTGTTAAATTTTATATATGCTATACTTAGTGGTAGATTACTATTTTCATGTCAAATTTACCACTAAATATAGCATATGTTGGCATTTGATTGTTATTGGTTAATATGTTTACTTTTTCACTTAATCATCACAACAATATTGGTGTTTTCAAATAATTTTGAAATTAACAATTTTCTTCTATAGTTTTCAAAACTAAAGCTTCAAAATTCCATGAAAATTTGTCATGGATATTGAGGTTTTTTAAGATCCCAATAACACTTATTTAGTTTTTTTTTTTTTGTTTCCTCTCTCTTTTACCTCTATAAAAACTAAAATTTTAAAATTCTGTAACTTTATTTTTTGGTTTTAGCGCCTATTAAAACGATTATTCTTTCTATGCGTTTGGAGTGAAGAGTGAAGAGATGAATATATGCTATACTTAATGGTAGATTACTATTTTCATGTCAAATTTACCACTAAATATAGCATATGTTGGCATTTGATTGTTATTGGTTAATATGTTTACTTTTTCACTTAATCATCACAACAATATTGGTGTTTTCAAATTATTTTGAAATTAACAATTTTCTTCTATAGTTTTCAAAACTAAAGCTTCAAAATTCCATGAAAATTTGTCATGGATATTGAGGTTTTTTAAGATCCCAATAACACTTATTTAGTTTTTTTTGTTTCCTCTCTCTTTTACCTCTATAAAAACTAAAATTGTAAAATTCTGTAACTTTATTTTTTGGTTTTAGTGCCTATTAAAATGATTATTCTTTCTATGCGTTTAGAGTGAAGAGATGAATAAATCTCCATCGATGCAGCCTAATAGAATATCTCACAAACATTGACGTTTTATAAGATTTGTTAAAAAACACAAAATTTTCAATTGATTATTTTCAACACACTATTCAAACACAAATTTTACAAATCTCAATGTCTACCATAAATTTTTATGGACTATATGGTTGGAGATTTGCTCATCTCTTTACTATAACATATAGAAAGAAGAATTGGTTTAATAAAAGTTGAAACGAAAATGTTACAACATTTTAAAGCACGAAAGAAAAAGCAAAAAAAAAAAAAAAAAAAAAAAAAAAAAAAAAAAAAAAAAAACACGAATTTGACTGTAAACTACTATGTTAACAACAGAGTGTTACCATAACCATTAACTTAATTAGTTATGATTTGCCTCTACTCTGGTTCGAATTATTTTATACATATTTTTTTATTATTGAAAGTATTACACTCTGACATTGCAACCCCTATCCTGACAAAATAATTACTAAGACAACACAACTAAAACATCTAAATAATGCTGGTTATCTCCCCTGCAACTTACTTGACCTATGTTTGTGTGTTTGTGTGTGAATGTCAAGCATTGGCATCTCCAAATCAACTGATTAATTCAGTCTAAGATATGAACAAGCGCCAGTATTTAGATACAATCCAAGGGGAATTTAAGTAGTGAGTAGTTACACATCAAATATATCCTCTCCACATACATGCTGCTTTAAGCCCAAGAAAAAAATAAAAAAAAAATAAAAAAAATAAAAAAAATAAAAAAAGAAAAAAAAAAAACACTAGTATGGGGTAAGGATGTACATCTTACAACCATGAGGAGCAACATTTGCACTCAATCGAGAAAGCATGTTCCTTGACACAAATGAATGCTGCAAAAAACCAGACATTTGGGAGTATGATATTAGTCACTAATAATACCACTAAGTAGATTTCATTACAATGTAATTAATGTTAACAATATTATACTTCTTGATAATTTACTGTAAAAAAGCAAAAGGAGTATAGAACATATTTGAGAGTATATAAATATATCGTACCGCCCACAAATCTCTAACAACAACAGGGGTTAATGATGGAAGCCCAATTTCCCTCCATCCTACTGATATAGCGGTCCATGAGCTGGCCCTATTCCAAAACACTACCACCACTCTTCTTCTTGATAATGGCCCAGCCCAGATCTGCATTACATGCAAGGAGGAAAAAAAAAACAAAAAAAAACAAAAAAGAGTATGACTACATTTATTAAACGGAAATAGTAGAAAATATACCAATATGAAAAGCTTAAGGAAGTATATAGACCAACTTTTAGTTATAGAAATTAATAGACCATAACTTGTCAAGTTATGGTTCATAACCAGATAAGTTATGGATAAACTTGTCAAGTTATGGTTCATAGCCAGACAAGTTATGGACAAAAACCGTGATTTATGGACAATAATTTGTCAAGTTATGGTTCATAACCAGACAAGTTATAGATGAAAACAGTAATTAAAAATAAAAATTATGGTGATCCAGTTATGGGTGGGGGAAGAAACTATGCACAATTCTAAAACAGTTTGTGCGTTTAGAATTGATTTTTACTTATTTTTAAAAACATTTCTATACAACTTTTGAGACACGAAAATAAAAACAGTTTGTAAATCGTGTTTGTTTAGTAAATATTTTGAAAATGAAAATTAAAAACAGTAGGCGCGCTTGAAACACGTTCTAAAATGATTTGTTTTCTGTATGAAAATGAAAATAAAAACGTTTTTAATCTCAGACAGAAATTATTTTTGAAAATATATTTGGTAGTTTTATCAAGAGATTATTTTCAGTATACAAAACCCATTAATATATATATATATATCTGCTCGAGAGAGGAGAAAACGAAAATAAAAAATGAAAAACGACTAAAAGTCATTTTTCATTTCTCTCTCATTTTACACTTAACTAAAAAATCGTTTTCATTTCTGTTTCTTGTCTTTATTGCGTCAAACGCCGTTTTGAAAACGTTTTCATTTTTTTCTCGAAAAACGGGATCAATTCCAAACACGGCCAGTGAGAATAGTTTTTGTGAAGGAATTAGAAAACGGTGAAAAATTATTTTTCCTTTTCTGTTTTCATTTTCTAGTAGTTATCAATAATGTAAAATATAACTAAATACGATTTCAATTTTTTATTATACTCAAAATAATCTCTTAAAAAACTAACCAAATACAATTTTAGAATCAGTCTTAAAATAATTTTTAAAATAATCTCATTTTTACTTTTATTTTGAAAATAAAATCATTTTAAAAACGTTACCAGACTCATTGTATCTTGGTCAAGTTTGTTTATATAGACAACAGGAAAAAAAATTTATACTCCGCACAAATTTTTTTTTTTTTCAAAGATATACTAAAACATACTTCTAGGCCATTTTCTGATCGTATCTTCCTTGCTTGAACTCCCAAAGGATCTTGATTAACATAAATCACCTCCTTGTTTCCAAGGATTCCAAGAGTTTCTTTGTTGACAGATCGGACGTCGCATCCAATAAGCAAAGGAGCCTATCAAAACAGAATATATATGGGGATCAATCACTGTAAGTGCATCAAAGAGATAAATAAATAAAAGAAATACCAAAATCATAAGTGTGAGAAACACACTTTCATAGCGGCCCAGATACTAAAATGGGATCGGTACTCTTCAAGACTCATCCCTCCATTGCCCACTTCCAACATGTCAGGATCTATTCAAATCATAACCCAACTTAGTATCTTATCTTATATTTGCTAAAGATATAATATCACAGATAAAAATTGTAATTAGTTGACGGAAGAGAACTTTGCGGGCTAATTCGCTAATTTGAGTTTTTAATTCGAGTTGAGTTGTGATTTTATGCGATAGTTTTTTATTATAACAAAAAGGTTTTATATGATTTTTTACTACAACAAAATTTAAATTCTAAACTCAAATTGATAAAATGAGTAAGGCCTATAAATGCATCTTACTCCTCGCCAATATAGACATAATGTGGGGTCCATTTGTTGAACCTCACCTGTAGGCCTTGTGGTTGATTTGCCCACAACATATTCATGTTCTTTGCTTGTGTTTGTTTATTAAAAAAAAAAACTGAAATTACCATTCCATCTTCCAGGTCCTGCATATCTTCCCCAAATGTTGTTCACATCTGCAATTGATGTGATACTGAAATGAAACAATACAGGGACCAATTAAAATTTAAAGCAACCGACTAAATTGATTGAGACCATTCAATGAAAGTTATGTAATTTGGACCTGTCCCAAGAGTCTTTAATGTCTCCCGTAGTTCTCCAAGCATTCCCATAGCGACCAGCCCATGTGGCTGGATCTTCTTGTCCCCTGTGAGATCAATCACTCTATTTTAACCTCTTTACATGCATAATCTTATTAGTCACAAGCGTCTACAATGAAGAAATCTAGGAGGAATGAATCAGAAGGTTCTTAAATCTATAGAAGTAACTTGCACATTCTACTTCGTGTGTCAATTGGGGATGATTTGATGGTGACAATTGACACACGAAGTAGTAAGTATAAACTAACTTGCCTTTGAGCAAAAAAGGAAAAAAAAAAAGGTACAAAATAACTTGCCATTCACAAATAGAGTAGAGGATTGGCCGGCCAACTTTGTGCAATGCATAACTCATCCTAGCATATCTGTTGAAGAGGGAACAAGACCACATTATTATTACATACATTAGAAGTTTGTTAAATCTCTAACATTTATTTAAGTACATTTTCTTTAAGTGGGGAAAAAAAAAATGTAACCTGGCTTGATTCTTAGAACCATCATGGTAGCAATTATCATACTTTAAATAATCGATCCCCTGAAATCAAAATAGTACCATATATGAGAATAATATTGTATTTAAAAATACGTACTACTTTTAATCTAAATTAGAGGGTAACAATATTTTTTTTCCAATTTTATTTTTTTTTTCCATTTTCTTTTGTGTGCTTTGAATTCTTAATTCTTATGGACTACAGAGCAGGAAATGACATTTAAATCAGGCATGAGCAAAATATAGCACTAACCCATTGAGCAAATGTTCTTGCATCTTCGTCTTCATGCCTAAGTGAGCCAGGCATTTGCTTGCTGCATGTCCAACTACTAGAGAATCACAAAAACAAAAATTCAGTAAGCATTTCCAATCATAATCCTTAAACGGTAATGTAAATGTGTTCTTGATTTATATATTTCTGTAATCTTCAGCATATGTATGTTACAAAAAAGTGAAAAAAAAAAAAAAGAAAAAAAAAAGAGAGAGAAATTTGGATTTACCCAGCAGAAGAATATATGCCGAGCTTTAAGCCTTTTGAATGAACGTAATCTGCCAGGGCCTTGATTCCAGAAGGGAAAGTAGAAGATTTTGCCCTTAGATTACCCTTCTCATCTCTGGTCTCTTCACCCCAGCAATCATCTGTTTTTCATATTAATTAATGACCATTGACCACTTCATATGCGTTAGAATAACATGTTATGATACCGATCCTAATCCACAGCTGAAAAAAGGTTAATTAGCTTTGCCACAATATTAATGTTACAAGTAAAATATGGGCTGATCAGCCATAAGAAAAGGGGAAAATGATGCAAGGAAATTGCGCACCTATGTTTACATATTTGTATCCAAGTGCCGCCAAGCCAGTTGAGATTAGAGCATCCGCTGTTATAATAAGAATTCAACCAAAACGACAACGTTACTGCCAGAAGATCCTCTTTAAGGTTGGAAGTAGTGTTTTTTTTTTTTTTTTCTTCTTTTAATTTTACTCTAATTCTCTAAACATAACTACCAAACTTCACTTTAGTCATACATATTTTATGCTTTGTAATCATACTATAGTAACTTTTCTTTTCTATAATACATATTATAATATTATCACATCACAAACAAATTTTTTTCCACACTAAGAAATAGATGCAATAGAAAATAACCTGCCTCGTGTTTTTGTCAACTAACATATAGAGAGTTTAAAAATATGTCAATCCTAGTCATATCTGACAGATGGATGGGAGGATAATATAACCTCACAATAAACAATGAGAATGGATTCTTAAATTTTAATGGTGCGTTTGGTTAGTATATTCATATCATGATTTAAATTATAGTTTGTGGTTCGTTATAATATTTTCTCTCACAAAAAATATACGTAAATCAAAAATAATTTTAAATTATGATTCTGAATTCATAAACCAAACGTCTATTACTAAATAAGAGATTTTAGTAGGTCGTTTGGCATTGGGCTGGGCAATTGATCTACTCATCCCTGAAAAGTGGGTCCCCATAAATTCTTGGAAAATAGTAGAAAATAGGCCAATATGAAAAGTTTAAGAAAGTATATAGGCCAATTTTTAGTTATAGAAATTAATAGGTCATAACTTGTCAAGTTATGGTTTATAACCAGAAAAGTTATGGACAAACTTGTCAAGTTATGGTTTATAGCCAGACAAGTTATGGACAAAAACCGTGAATAACTTGTCAAGTTATGGTTTATAACTAGACAAATTATGGACAAAAATAGTAATTTAACATATTTATTAACTTATATAAATTATTAACTTATTAATTTTAATTTATCTCAAATCTTGTCTTTCTCCCTAAATTCTTTCAGGCTGATGAGGGGGCCGAACTGATAGGTGACAACCCAGGCCCAGCCCAATTAGAGCACTTCCATTCGGCTACCTGGCCCCTGCGGAGGCGGGTCCACATAGGACAAAAGGAGGGTCCCACATAGCATTATAGCGGAGCCCGCAAAGCATACATCTTGGCCTTTTTCGATTCACCATCTTTTCAGCAATTTTTGGGATGAAAACATGCATACGACAGTCTCTGCGGGGACCATAACAATTTTGACTGTTTCCGAATTACTTTTTTTTTTTTTTTTGTTATTATTTTCTCTCTCTCTTCTCTCCCAATTCTCCGACCGGCTGAAAGTGAAAGTCTAGCCTTTAACATTTCAAGGGTTGGACTTATTCTGTTCAGCGAAACCAAGTAAAGAAGAAAAGTGTTTTCTCTGGTCATGTGAAACACGGTCGGTCCGGTTTCTAGTACCTTTTTCTTTTAGAAAATTCACGACTCAGACAACATTACTTTAACTTATAATTAAAATTCCCTTTTCATAATTAAGAATTAATAGTGGCAAACAAATATAATAATGCATATTGCACTGAAAACTTTGAATCCGCAGAGAATACCTTGAAAAAGATTCAAAGTCAATCATTGAAGTGGAAAGTTAATTAAAAACGGTATACCATGCATATAAAAGAAGAATGTTGAATGTCCAATACATTAAAGGGGCACAAAATCATGTGTCAAAAGAACTAAACTTTAAAGATCCGGCAGTTACCAGTGGTCTTCACGGTCCACTCGTCTACATTGCACTGAAAGTGGTTCCAGCTGCTCCAACTGCAATATTATTCAAAACCCATAAATTTTTAGCAAATTTTTTGTAAACATAAAAAAAAAAAAAAAAAAAAACCCCAATTAAATTTAGAATTCAGTTAATTAAAGCATTGAGAGAGTCACCCCATTGGAGGTGTACGAGCAACTCCATTGGCAATGAGAAACTGAGTGTAGCCTTGAATCTGGGCATTGCTGCTCAAATTCACAGCACCTACAACACTACACAGACTAGCTAAAACAGTGACACAGAGAGAGATTTCTTTATAAACCATTATCATGATATATGCTTAGAAAAAGAGGAACTAAAAAAAAAATTGTCTCTGAAGGCGCTTAAGATTGATCTGATCTAAATATTGCAGCGATGAGATTGGAAGAGAAACGAGTTGAGAGAAGTTAGGGATAGAAACAGAGCATTTTATGTAATGAAGACTTTTTTGGTAAGGTCTCCTGACCATAGAGTTAGTTTTTGACTCATAAATTTAATTAAAATTACATTAAATTAAAAAAAATATATATATATGTAGAATAAATAATGCAAACTATGATGATTGAAAATAAAGAATTATTAATCGTTATTTTTTTTATCCTCCTAAAATGGAATGGAAAAATGAAAATGGGTACGTGGAATGGACCCCTTGGTACAATACAAATGTGGTTGTTGGGTAGACAAGATCTAGGAACGAATCTGTCATTAATGCTATTGCTAGACAGTATACTGCCTTTTACAAAAGCATTATTATTATTATTATTATTATTATTATTATTATTATTACTACTACTACTATTATTATTATTATTATTATTATTATTATTTATTTTTAACAATTGTTGTGTTTATGGCAAATACTTGGATCAAATACCAATTAGATAATGGTTACTAAACAAGTTTCTTAGTTATTTTGAGCACCAAGAATGTACAATTGTTTCGTGTATTAAAGTTTATTGACAATATTAATAAGCATTTCATTCGGTCTTCTAATATTAAGGGAGGTTTTTTGGGTATTTAGACATGATTATTTTCAAATAGTCAAATATAGTTAAATTTTTTTCTGTATTATTTTTGGCTTAATATATGCTGATTTGCTCGTCCAACTTTACATACGCTGACTTCCTTCATTTCCTCTCTTTTCCTCATACTAGTAGGCTAGTAGTAACGGTGCACAATGATCTACCTCTGCGATCGAAAACCTATCCGAACTTTATCACACTGAATACACAGAGAGAAATGAAAGAATTTATGATAGTAGAAGAGAACTCTAAAATTCGGGTGTGCCTCAATTTTGGAGTGGAAGGTCCTTTTTATGGGGCTTAGAGGAGACTATGGCTTTGTCTGTTGCCGATGTGAGACAAAGAGCTTTTACACTTTTTCCCAATTTTTTGGGAGTTTTTTCTCCGATTTTCTCAACTTTATGGGAGCATTTTGAGAGTCAATTTCTCATTCATCTGTTCACTATTTTGAGTACATAAATATATCATCTCGGTCTTCTATTGCGGAGAACACAATTCCAATCACTAACACGAAGTGGGTTCTACTCAAAATCAAATCTCAAAATGGTACCATGAAAAGGGTTTTCAAGCCATTTTTTAACAATCTCCCACATGAATGGAGAAAACAAAACGATACATCAAAGTTTAACATGATGATAGAGTTTATCGGTTGAAACCATCATAGGATAAGGTAAGGTGTTACTCTTGGAACCTTCCCTTGTGCGAATATATTTACTTTATTGATTAAATAGTAGACACGATGTTCTCGTGAAAATATGCATAACTATAACTTTTGATATGACTGAAGTTATATAGAAAACAATTAAGTAGAGATGTACAAGTCAAGTCTCCTCAATTCGGCCACAAGAGTCGATTATGAATTAGTGTTTTAGATATCCGAAAAATATTTATTTATAACCATTGACAAAAAAAAAAAAAATGCATGAAAAAAAAATCAATTTCATAAGACTAAAGTCTAGACAATTGTATTTTATTAATTTTAACAAAATACAGTAAAAAATTAAATTGCAGAAAAAAAACAACATTCACAAAATAAAGAAAACAAAAGATTTAAAAAAAAATAAAGAAAGATAAAAGAAAACGTGAAAAAAGAAAAAAAAAAAAAAAAGAAAGAGAGAGAGCAAGGAGAGGGCTTGCCACTTAGCGATTTGAGAAAAAGAGAAATTGACTTTTTTATGTATTGTTATATACAAATAAAAAAAAGAATGAAAAGTAAAAGAAAAGGTGAAAAAGGAAAAAAGAAACAAAAGAGG